GGGCGTACCTACGCCGGGTAAGGGCCTGCCTGCGCCCGTGGCGCCCGGTGGCCACCGCTACTGCCGCTTGTGCAACATCCGGTTCAGCAGCCTGTCCACCTTCATCGCTCACAAGAAATACTACTGCTCCTCGCACGCCGCCGAGCACGTGAAGTGACTGAGGCGCACGGGGTGGCCTGGGACACCGTGGTCCGCGAACTGAGCCGCCCAGGGCCGCATGCCCCGGTACTGTTCAGGCCGTCGGGGCTCAGTGGGACCCAGCCTACCCAGGGCCGCATCGTGGCCAGGCGTCCATGTGCCCTTCCGGTCTAGAACACATCCCCCTCCACCGTCTCCAGTGCAGCTGAGACTAGAAAGGGCTGAAAGCTACTCCCTCCCTAGGCTGGAGTAGAGCCGGAGCCTGTCTGCTCCACCCGCCCCTCGGGGTGACGCCCGGAGGCCCAGGGGTTTGCACAAGAATAAAACGGTGGGCCGAGTTGGTGGTGAGCCTGAGTCACAACCTTGAGGTAGGCAAAGGCAGGAGGTTTCCACGTTCAAGAACAGCCTGGGCAATTTAGTGAGATCCCGTCCAAAAGTGAAAAGAGCTGGAGATGCAGTTCAGTGGTAGGGCGCACAGTTCCAGCTCCAGCACACTTAGTACACAAGACAAAGAACACTGGTCCTAATTGGGGTCCACATCCCCTGCCCACGGGGACCACCCAGATCAAGGCCCCAGGCTTGATCTTCTCAGTGGAGGCTGGCCAGGCCCCAGAAAACCATCCGCCAGTTCATCTGTGGTGATCTTTCTACAAGGGTCAGCCAGGAAGAGGTGTTGGAGGACCCCAGGCACCTGCAGATGCCCCATGGCCACCCACTGCCTGGGTGTTCACACCTGCACAGTGGGGTGAGAGCTGCTTGTATCCTGCAGCCCTCAGTGAGGAGTGGAGGTATAGACCTGTGTGACCCCCGGGGTGCCAGTGACCACACCCTGCAATGCCATCGGTGCCCTGTGCTCCCCGCCTGGGCGTAGCTTCTGTCCCATATCCCCTCTGCTGCCCTTCCCCAGTCCAGGGCAGGCGTCTACCCTGGTTTCCCTTTGAAGTTCTTTCCCATTCTGGGGAGCATGGACACACTCCCTCATCCATCTAGCGCAGCTGAGTTCTAGGCCTACCCAGGAGTCACCCCAGCACTCCCTACTCTAAGCCCTCTACCACCCCCACCAACTGCCCACTGCTGTGCTTCAGTCAGGACTCAATCCTCTCAGAACCCATGCTCCCCAACCCCACCTGTGTCACTGCCCAGGCTTTCTCTGAACAGCCATGTCCAGGTCTTCCCCAGCCAGTCCCCTGGGAGAGACCGCCATGATCTCCCTGTGCAGTGATGGCCACACTGGGCAGCCAAAGCCCTTCCGGGAGGTGCACAAAGGGAAGGAAACTCCTGCAGGGCCCTGCCCTTCGGCTTGCACTCACCATGACCTCTGTGGGCCACAGCCTGGGTTAGCATCTCAGAGGGTCCCCCGTTCAGCGTTCATGGCCACAGGCTTGGTGGCACACGCCTGTAATCCCAGCATTCGGGAGGCTGAGGCAGGAGGATCGCTGTGACTTTGAGACCAGCCTGGGCTACATAGTGAGACCCTGTCTCAAAAAAACAGAGTTCACGGCCACCAGACAGTGTCGCCCTCCCTAGTGCAGCAGTATGCTCTATCCCCAAGCACAGTTACCTGAGCATGCTGCCTCTAGCCTGGCCCTCACACCATGCCACCAGGGTCATTCCTCTGAGCCCGATGTACCATGATGCCTGTCACCCTGCTTGCCCCAGAGACTTTCTAAGCAGCCTCCCTTCCCTTCCCCTCAGTATCCCTCAGAGGCCACCCCTTGGCCATGTCTGCCCCAAGCCCTGAGAGGGACAGGTCTTTAGCCTTCCCCAGGGACCAGCAGGAAGGCCACCATCTACAGGCCAAGATTCTGAGCCAGGTACCTCACCATGTAACCCTGAGACAGGCGCAGAAGCTGGTTCTCCCAAGCCCCTTCTCAGGCCAGGTGTGGTTTCCAGCCTTCCACTGCTCCGTGCGTCAGGACACCAAGGCCCAGTTCCTGCTGGGCACCCAGCTGGTACAGCTCCAGGACGCTCAGCTAGGCAGGAGCCCAGGGAAAGGTGGACATGGGCTTCCCACTCCAGGACACATGCTGAGCGGGCACTGGGCACAGAGGGACCTGCTGGGAGATGCCCACCTGCACCTGCGGGCCTCACCAACTCTCCCTGAGAGCCGGACTCTTGGAACTGCAGAAGAGACTCTGGACGGTAGAGGGTAGCAGTGGCTTGCAGGAGTGGCCCGCCAGCCTTTGGCCTAGCCTGGTTCTGCCTGCCCACCTGGTCTGCACAGTACCTTGCTGAGAAAGGAGGGGTTGAGAGGGATAGCTCACTACCCTTGACCTGTCAATACCCCAGACTCCTAGGGGATCCCTGGAGGACCCAGAACCATGATCAGGCCCTGTGGCTTTGGGAAAAACCCCCCACACTCACACACACATCCAGCTGCAGAAGCCTGGGCCAGTCCCCAAGCACGCTTCTGGGGCCTACTTGCCTCAGCACTCCCTGGCTTGGGAAGGGGCACAGCTGCCAGGCCTGGAGATATTTCAGAGGCTTTTGGCTTGCACCCCTGTGGCAGGCATAGACATACCCACTCCCATTTGGAAGCTTTCCCTGACCCCATCCCACAGCCCACCCCCCAAGGGTGGGTGCTCAGGAGGCCCAGTCCTGGTTGAGGGGCACTGTGCCAGTCCAGGGACAGGGTGGCTGCTGACCTGTGGTGCGAGGAGGTGCCAAACAGCTCAGAGACGAACCCCAAGTCCCAGGCGGGCCAGAGGGGTGACACAGTCATGGCACCCCAGCTTCAGCCTGAAACACAGCCTCACCTCAACCCAGCCCCCCAAGGGCACACGTGGCCCCAAGGAGCACAGTGTCTCTTGCCAAGCTGCCAGCCAGGACAGAGCCAGCTCTCCCTGATGGAACCCTGTGACAGCAGCCAGCCAGCCAGACACCGGAGTCCTCTCCTCACCGGGGCAGGGGACCACTTCCACCTGGCCCCCAACTTCTCAGTATGGGCAGACAAAGGGCACCCTGGGGCCCATTCCTTCCCGTGGAGGCGTCGCTCCCCTCCACTGGGCTGGGCTGCGTCCCACTGGCAGGCTGGGCCACTTAGGTCATCGGATCCTTGGGGAGGATGTGGGGTCGTTCCCATCATCTGTGTTTTCAAAGCACTGCGCTCTGACAGCTCTGCTTTTCTAGCTTCAGGTTCTTTGTGATTTCCGTCTTTCTCCAGCTTCCTCCTGGCATCTTAGGACAGATTCAGCACCCGCCTTTCTCGTCGAGGAGGAGGTGGCTTTAGCAATCTCCTGGTGCACCAGTCCTGCAGGAAGGCACCTGCCTCTCGAAGCGGGACCTGGCATGCTGTTGCTCCACTCGCCTCTTGCTTGGCACTGCCCTATACCACACGTCTGACAGTTTGCCATCTGGGTCTCGCGAGTGTCGCTGTACGCTGTGACAGCCCCAGCCCACTCCTGGCACCCCTGATTTTTTTTTTCCCCCCCTGGTACCGGGGATT